AAAAAAAAAAAAAAAAAAAAAAAAAAAAAAAAAAAAAACTTGAGCCCTTTCACAGAAAGGCCTAAAAGGATTCATAAGCCATTCTGGCAGCATAAGTATCCAAGAAATCAACACACCAGAGAGGGCAAAAATTTTGCCAAGGTCACACAGCAAGTGAACAAAAGGCCTAGTTACCCGCATGGCTTAAGTTAACCCTGATTTTGACTACCAGAAAGTATACCATCTAGAATTCTAGAGGAGCTTGAATGGCACGCGGAACTAGTTTCTTAAGAATCCAAGCGTCTGCCCACATCCTATTTCCACCGCTACTGGCACTTAGGGAAGTGGAGGCAGCGTGGAGGATGGCAGCTGGCTGAGAAAGGCGGGATGAAAGCATAGCTCCAGAAAAAGAAACAGTCTTCTAAATCCTCTTAAGCATACACTACGCACCCCTAAAAGTGACCCAGGATCCCAGGAAACAGGAGCTACCGGGAAGGCGGACCCCACTTGACAGGAGGGAAGCAGCGTTAGGAGACAAACTCCTTCAAAGTACAGCCCCCGACCCAGTGAGTCCTTCAGCTGGAGGAAGACCCCAGCACAGCCCACACCCTCGCTGGGCAGCCCGGTGCCACTACCACCACCGCCTCCTCCAGGTCCTGTGAGAAGGACCCGAACTCCCCGGGGCTGCGCCCCTCCCCCTGCGAGCCCGCCGGCTTCCACCCTCCAACCCAGCACCCAGTTCTCTCCTAAGCTCCCAGCGCCTCCCAGTTCCCCCAACTCCCGCCTCCCGGACCTCGGGTCCGGAGGCCAGTACTCCCAATACCCCGGCACCCGGGGACCCCGGGACCCTTCTCGCGCCCGGGCCCAGCCCTCCCTCACTCCCACGCCCGCCCCCTTCCGGTCCCAGCTCCGCTCGGTCTCCCCCCGCCACCCCCCGCCCTCAGGATCCCAGGCCTGGCGACGAGCAGGTGGGCTGCCTGCCCCTCTCACCGAGGCTGAGGAGGGCGGGGGAACTGACTGAGGGCACCGCGGAGCTGGGGATGCAGCTCCGGCTCGGCCTGGGCAGGGATCCGGCTGTGGCTCCGACTCTGAGAAGACACCCCGAGTGAAACTCGGCGTCGCAGCTTCCGAGCGCTCCGCTGCGCATGCCCAGGACGGGGGCCTTCTGGGAAATGTAGTTCCCGTGGGGGCGGGGCAGAATCCTGCGCGTGCCTACTCAGGTGTACCTGTTCCTCCTCCGCCTGTTCTCTCGTTGACTTACGCCTTCATTAATTACTGACTAATTTTGAGTAGTTTTTACTGGTACATGCATGGTGCCAGGCCCTGAGGTACTGCGTACTGGGGATTCAAATATGAGTCAGAAACTTGGTTTCTATCCTGGGAGAGCTTCGTATCTAGTTGGGAGACAGACATTTAAACACACAATTACAATATAGTGTGAGAAATGCTGTGATAAACTTGGAGGGGGGTGAGGGGTCGAGGGGCCGGGGGGTAAGGAAGACATCACAAGGGAGGTGATGCCTGGGTTGGATTTTGAAGCCCAAAGAGGGGTTTGGCAGATGGATTACATACAGGAAAGCCCTTGCAAAGAAAGAGAGATGTGAAAGTGCCTGATGCGTTCAGGACGCGGTGGACACATGGAAGGGATAAGAAAAGAGAAAATGGATCAGAGTGTCGCAGGATATGAGTATAGGAGAAGGCTGGGTGAGATTGTGGTGGACTTTTTTTATTTTTGGTGGCTCACCAAGTATGGGGATCCAAACCCTGGACCTGGGTGTTGTAACACCACACTCTAACCAACTGAGCTAATCGGCCAGCCCCTGTGATGGACTTTAGATGCTGTGCAAGGAATTTGGGCAACTGTAGCCAGTGGAAGGGTTTAAGCAGGGGAATGACTGTCAACATGGAATTTTAGAAAGATACTCTGTGGATAAATTAGAGGAAGAGAGAAAGGTAGTGAGGAGACCAGTGTAGAGGCTGTTGCTGCAGACCAGATAGAGAAGGTGATGAGGCCTGAACCAAGCTGGTGACTAATCTTCTGGGATCACAAGCCTCCTTTGCAAAGCTGAAGAAAGCTATTTCCAGAAAAATGCTCAGATGTGAGTGTTCATACATGTGTACACAAAAGTTACATATGCATACCATTTCAGGGGGGTCAGGTCTTCTGCACCTTGGTAGTAAGGATACTTAACTGTAGTGACATTAATGTCACACATCCCTGATCAGGGATTTAAGGAAGATTCAGACTGGAGATGGAGATGGAGGAAGAGACCTCCCCTATCATTCAGTTTAAAAACTTCTTTTATAGAAGAGAAAACTGAGGTCCAGAGCGAGGGAGTAACCTGCCCAAAGTTAGTGGAAGAAGAGGAAAGTCTATAGCAGGCCCAGTCTCTGGCACCTTAGGCCAGGACTCTTACAACCTGACTGCTGACTTAAGAGAACACAGGCCTTCCACGTCTTTGTTTCCTCATCTGTTGTAAGGATTATGTGTGAAAAGACATAGTAAACTTTGAACTGCTACCAAAAAAAAAAAAAGAGAGAACACAGGCCTTGTGTCTGGAGAGGCACCGAAGTCAGATTTGCCCAGTCATGCACAGAGCTAGGCCTCCATCAAAAACTAAAGTATGACATTCTACTTGTGATTTATAGAAGGTGACTACAGTGGCTACAGATTAGGACAGGAACATTTCCCTTTCCCTCCGAGTCTCAGTTTTCTTAGCCGTAACCATCTATAACATTTCTAAAGCACTCAGTATGTGCCAAGCAATTGACATGCAACACCTTGTTGAATCCTCTCCTTGAGGTTGGTACTATGGTTATCCCCATTTTAAAGATGAGGACATTGAGGCACAGAGCTTAGGCAATGTGTTCCCACAGTTGGCAACTGGTAGAGTTGGTTTTTTAAATCCAGATAGTGTCTAACTCTAGACTTGAGCCCTCCAATATGACTGGCCTCATGCAGGGTGGTATAGGTTAAATGGTCTGAAGCACCAGCAAAGCCTTTCAACATTCAAAAGACATATTCTTGTTTGTTCTTTTGGCGGCTGGCCAGTATGGGGATCCGAACCCTTGACCTTAGTGTTACAATACCATGCTCCAACCGAGTTAACCTGCCAGCTCCATTATTTTCTTAAGTACTTCCTTCTTCCTTGGTAAAATGCTAGAGTGATAGTTATTGTCTAGATAACCTCAGTGTGCACACAGCTAGAATCTCAAACAGATAGAACAATGGTAGAAGGCTGGACTAGAGAGGTTCTGGAACCTAGGCTCTGGCAAGGGGAGGAAAATCCCAACCCAGAGAGCTGAAGGATCTGGAGCTCTGGGAGAGGTTTGGTGGGGCCCTCCAGTTCCAGCTGAGGAAGCCAAGATTGGCAACCAATGTGGGAGACAGAGGGAAAGGTGGGGGAGAGGAGGATGGCAGGCAGGCGTGAAGATCTGGAGAGATCTGAGCTAGAAACAGGGATTTTGGAGTCCTAGGCAATGAAATGGAGCTCACCCAGGGCGTCTTAATTCATTGGTGCTGCTATTACAAAATACCTTAGCCTGGGTGGCTTATAATCAACAGAAATTTATTTCTCACAGTTCTGAGGGCTGGACGGTCCAACAGCGAGGTGCCCGCAGATACAGTGTCTGGAGAGGGACTGCTTCCTGATTCATAGGTGCCATCTTTTCACCGTGGCCACATGAAGGTGTAAGGGATCTCTCTGAGGTCTCTTTTATAAGGACACTAATCTCATTCATGAAAGCTCTGCCTTCATGACCTAATGACCTTCCAAAGACCCCACCTCCTGATATCACAGTGGGGATTAGGTTCCAACATATGAAGTCTGGTGGGGACACAAACATCTAGTCTATAGCATGGAAGACCACAGAAGATGAGAAAACATAAGTCCAGGGCTGGGGAACTCTGACTTTTGAAGAACGAGAAGGTAGAAGAGGAGGAGGCTGAAGAATGGCTGGATTGGGAGACACATTATGCAGGATGTCAGGGAACCAAGGAAAGTGTCTCTTGAGGCTGCTGGTCAGTGGTATCAGATACACTTGAGAGGCCCAATGATCTGGTCCCCTGGGAGGGGAGCCAATTCCAAAATCCAGGACTCCTGCCTTCCAATCCAAGTCTCTCTTATCTTTCAATCCACCAGCTAACTTCAAAAAAGATTCCAAACTTCAGACTTACCTACAGGGAGGCCATTGGTAACCATAGAGCAGTTTCCATGGAGAGGTAGGGACTCCTGCAGGTGTGCAGTGGGTTGTCAAGATTAAGAATAGAGTCTACGAGTGTAGACCACTTTTCCAAGGAAAATCTTTGCGTTCTGCAGCACATTGGGAAGAGAGAGGCAGAGGACAGACCCACACATGTGGAATAATACCATTTCCATAAGGTGGCCCATGGCTGTGTGTGTGTCTGGAAGAATACTAGCCAACACCTCGACATCCAAGGGGAGGGATCACAGGTGACTTTTACTTTCTTTGTACTGTTTTTGTATCATTTGAGCATGCCCCAATGAATGGGTCCCATTTTTATAACCTGAAAAGACAGACTATTTTTATTTGGGAAAAATAAAGAGTTCTGATTGTTAACAGAAGAAAAGTAGGGCAGCAGCAAGGGGGAGAAGAGGGGGGGGGGTGCCAAGGACTTTTATTTTTTAGGTAGGAGAGAGCTGAGTGTGCTGTGCTCTGAGGCTGCAGCAGGACGTCCCTGGGGACCCTGGAAGTGAGGGAAACAGGATTGGCCACTTGGAACTGAACTTTAAACTAATATACATAGCAAAGGACCACAGGCAACTGAACTACCCAGCAGGAGGGGGTTCCTTCAATAACCCTGGAATATGAGGTAACCTGTGGAAAGAAAGAGGAAGACTCACTGAGGCTGAGCATAACAGGTGGCCAAGATCTATTGTTAAATAAAAATGGAACATCAAGAACAGAGGGTGGAATAGAATATGCAGCCATCTGTGTTTTCTTAGAAGCTGCATGCAGTACACAGGTTTGCAGGCATAGAGGTGTTCTGGGAGAAAACCCAAGAACCCCAAGAAGGTAGAGGATGACCTGAGGATTTTTTAAAAATTTACTTCATGCTTGTGAATGCTCCTTCCTCCCTGGTGGGCACCTCCTCTCAACACACACTGTAGGGCTGGTGGCCTCTTGCACCAAGTCTCACAGCCTAGAGCCAGTGGCAGCGGAAATGTACCTGATGGGGGCTTTTTGTCCTAAATTGTCTGCCTAGAGAGGGTGCCTTTTAATTTTTTAACCTCTCAAAAGCTGGGATTTGTTTTGCCTACCCGAAGGCCTGTGAGTGCTACCGAGCAACTGAGAATGAATGACATGGCCCAAGAAAGAATGTGACTGTTGGCTATGAAATGGGGAGTGGTCTTAATTGAAGAAACTTAGATTAAAAAAAAAAAAAAAAAAAGCCGGGCCGGCCTGGTGGCGCACTATATTCGGATCCCACATACAGACCGGTTCCCGCTCACTGGCTGAGCGAGGCGCGGGGGCAACACCGAGGGTTGCAATCCCGTTGCCGGTCCCCGGTCCGGTACGGGGGCAACACTGAGGGTTGCGATCCGTTGCCGGACACGGAAAAAGACAAAAGACAAAAAAAAAAAAAAAAAAAAAGCCCTTAAACTGCACTCCTTGTGGCAGTTCTTATTTATTGCCTCTGAAGGTTCCGATCCTGGCACCAGCCGCCTCACCCAGGAGCAAGAAAAGATCAAGGCAAACCTGAGAAAAGTAAAGACACTGAGGCCCAGCATCACTGTTAAGCGGCTCGAACATTTTCTGACGTTTTGCTTGGAAAGGCAGAATTTTGTCGCTTAGAACCTCAGCTAATTGGCCTCCATCAGACACTGGAGGGATTGTCTGATTAGACACCACAGCTGCCTTGCTCATTATTTCTGATGAATGGACGGCACCTGGCATCTCCTGGTGACGATCCCGCTCAGGACCCAGGTGTGACCTACACGACCAACAAAAGCGCGATGGCTTTACTGCCCTGAGCAGTCAGCCAGTCTTCCCCAAAAGTGTTACTGTATGTAAGTCCCAGCTCTTTGGAACATGTTTTGAAAGGGCTCATCCTCTTTTGCTGTTTCCCTTGCTGAAAGTCTAAAATAAATGAGTGCTCAGTTAATTCATCTGAGAAGTCTGTCTTAGCAGTGGGCAAT